TTTCAGTTGTGGCTTCATCAATGTTTATGGTCCTTCAGTGGAGGAGGAGAAGACAAGTTTTTTTGAAGAACTAAGTCTTTATTTAAGAGGTCAGAATTGTCCGGTTTGTGTAGGAGGGGACTTCAATGCTTACTTGTATGAAGAAGAGAAGATTGACAGGGACAGAACAGAAATTCTATGAATCTTTTCAGTCAGTTTATCCTACAATCTGGTCTTATTGATTTACCTATGATTGGAGGCAGATTTTCTTGGACTAATAAACAAGATAATCCAACCTTTGTAAGACTGGATCGTTTTCTTGTTGATAGTCAGTTTTTGGCTGCATTCCCGGATATAGTTCAGTCCATTCTTCCATGGTCTGTGTCAGATCACAATGCTATAACTCTTGAGAATAGGGGTGTGTAGATTGGGGTAAAAAACCTTTCAAATTATTCAATTACTTGATGGATGAGGAAGGTTTTGAGGACTTGATTAAGTCATCTGTTCAAAACAGTAAGAAAAATCAATGGAAAGCGGGTGTTTTTAATATTTTGAAGAATGCCAAAGGTGCAATCAAGAACTGGGTTGGGAGAAGAGATCAGTATCCAAAAGCTTTGATTTCTGATTTAGAAGAGAAAATTCAAAAGTTAGAGGCTGTCCAACAGCAGCAGCATGGTGTTTCAGACAGAGAATTAATAGCAGATTTGAACTCTAACAGAGCAGAATTGTGGAAACTACTTAAAATTCAGGAGCAGATCGGTTTCCAGTATTCTAGATCAAAATGGATTAAAGATGGGGACCGCAATACAAGATACTTTCATACTTGTACTACAGTTAGAAAGAAGCAAAATGCATTGAATGTACTGAATTTTGGGGGAATTATGATTCAGGATCCGATTGCAATAAAGGCAGCAGTTAGGGATTACTTCTTCAAAATTTACAATGAGCGTTCAACTCTGGAAATTGATGACATAAAGCTGGATTTTAACAAAATTACACTCGATCAGAGTCAGTTGTTACAGAGAATTTTCTGAAGATAGATTTTGGAAACCTAGAAGTCTTGAGACAATAACAAAAGCCCCAGGGCCGGATGGTTTAAATTTGGGATTTTTCAAGAGGTTCTGGCATGTTTTAAAGGAAGATATTATGATATTCTTTCGTAATTTCTATTTGGGAAAAGATTGGGAACATGGTGTAAACCATACATTCATTACTCTTATTCCAAAGATTTCTAATGCAGGTGGCCTTGATGATTATAGACCTATAAGTTTAGTAGGTGGGCTATATAAGATTTTGTCTAAGTGCCTATCAAGGAGGTTAAGGAGCTGCATTTCAGACATTATCAGTCCTTCTCAATTTGCTTTCATCCCAGGTCGACAAATTTTGGACTGCTCTTTAATTGCTAAAGAAGGAATTGATTTTTGGAGGAAGAAAGGTTTAAAGGGTTGTGTTTTTAAAGTGGATTTTAAAAAGACATATGACACAGTTGACTGGCCTATTCTTTTCAGAGTAATGAGAAAAATGGGCTTTGGTTCTACATGGATTAGCTGGATCTCGAAATGCGTCACAACAACTTCTATATCAGTTTTGGTTAATGGGGTTCCTTCAGAGGAATTCCCAATGGCAAAGGGAATTCGTCAAGGTTGCTCTTTGTCTCCTATGTTATTTAACATAGTAGGGGAACTCCTTAATCTCATGATTCGTAGGGCTGTTTCAGAAGGGTTATTTTCGGGTATGGTTATTAGCAGGGAGAAGGGAACTTTCAAATTATCCCTCCTTCAATTTGCTGATGACCTAATAATATTCTGTGGTGCATCTAAGAAGCAGGTTATGAACGTAAAGAGAGTACTTCGAGTCTTCGAAGTTATATTTGGCCTCCAGTTGAACTTAAAGAAGTCAAAACTATTTGGGGTGAATATGAATGAAGAGGAAATAAGAGATTGGGCACAGTCTGTGGATTGTACTGTTGGTAGCATTCCTTCAGAATACTTAGGACTACCTCTGGGAGCACAAAGAAATTCTTCTGCCCTATGGGATCCAGTGGTTCATAGTTTCAACAAGAAGTTGGCAGGTTGGAAGGCATCCTCTCTTTCTATTGCAGGGAGGTTAGTTTTAATTAATTCAGTCTTATGCTCGCTTCCTACATACTATTTGTCATTGTTTAAAGTTCCGGCTTCGGTGTACAAGTCAATTAATTCTATCATGTCCAACTTCTTATGGGGCGGAGGAAGTGGTCAAAACAAGATTCATTGGGTGGGTTGGCCCAATGTGTGCAAACCGAAATTCGAAGGTGGATTGGGGGTTCCAAACATCGACAAGATAAACAAAGCTTTATTAGAAAAATGGTATTGGAGGTTTGCTAATGAAAGAAATGTGGAATGGAGGAAATTGATTTGTTCTAAATACAATTTAGACTCGTCTTTATTGCTATTTGACAATAAGGTTACACCCAAATTTTCATGGATTTGGAGATCCGTGGTGAACAATCATTACAAAATAGACCCTACTGGCTGTAAAATTAGAAGCAACTATTCTTTTCAAGTTGGCGATGGGGGTAGCATTCGATTTTGGCAAGATGTTTGGGCAATGGATCAACCATTAAAGATCATTTTTCCGAGATTGTTTTCCATTTCCTTAAACAAAACTGGAAAATTATCTGAGTTTGGTGATTTTAGCTCAGGCAACTGGTTTTGGGATATACATTTAAGAAGGGAATTGAATGATTGGGAATATGAGCAGTGGTCTAATTTGATGACAATTATTTCAAATATTTCCCTTTCGGTTGATTCATCTGACGTACTGGTCTGGAAAGGCACTGGAGATGGGGTATTTACTGTGAAATCTTGTGTTAGTCAGTGTTATTCAGGGACCTCAAGTTCATCAGAGATTAATTTCTGGAAGAATGTTGTTTGGAGTGGATTATTGCCTCCAAGAGTGGAGACATTTGTATGGCAAGTTATTCTACAGAAGCTGGCAGTGAAGTCAGCTCTTGTTAAAAGAGGTATGCTGGGTATAGATGACTTGTTGTGTCCTTTTTGCAAGCAGTTTGATGAGACGCCCTCCCATTTATTTTTTACTTGTTCAGTGCTTTGGAGCATTTGGAATAAATTTATTAGATTTTGGAACATTCAATCTGTCTTTCATGTTGATGCAAAAATATTTCTCCTAGCATGGGTTGATTTGAGGATTAATTCGACCATATGGTCATTTATTCCAGGGGTTGTCCTATGGACAATTTGGAAATTCAAAAATTATATTGTATTTGAAGGAGGGAAGGTAGATCAAGCAGAACTCTTCTTTTTAGCTAGGTTCAGGCTAGCTTCATGGTACTTAGCTAAGTACAAACAGGTTTCGATCTCTAAGGATTTGCTTATTTCAGATCCTTCCTTGGGATTCTTGTTCTCCTAACTCCAAACCGATTGCAACTGTGATTAATTGGTCCCCTCCCCCAAAGGGCTTCATCAAATTAAATGTCGATACTGCTACTACTACTGATTGGAAGAGAAGTGGGATAGGTGGTGTTTTGAGAGATGATAACGGGACAATCATAGACACTTACAAGGAATCCGCAGGACCTGGTCCTCCTACTTTGATGGAATTGAAATCTATCCTTAAGGGTTTATCTTTCTTTCACACTATACGACACAGATTCAAGGATCGGTTGATCATTTAAAGTGACTGCAGGGAGGCAATTGACTGGGTTAGGGATTTTGTTTCATATCCTATTGTTTATGCTTACATTGTTAAAGATATTATTGAAAAACTTAGACTGTGTGAAGGTGTTATTAGATGGGTTAATAGGACAGCTAATCTAGAGGCAGACGCTCTAGCTAAGGCTGGAATTGGTTGATATTTATGTTGTTTTTAAGGTTGTAACTATTTAGGTTGTCGATCTCCTTCAAGGAGTTCTAGGTTTTTTGTAATCTATTGTATTAAGTTTATTATTAATAAAATCCAAGGCACTCTTTTTCTTCTTCCGTTGATTAAGGAATTTTTTCAGAGTTCCATTAATCATGAAGGGGGTTTTTTAATGAGGCCTAATATTCCTATAAAAAAAATCATCTTTCTTTCTTCATCCATGCCTCCGACATTTCATCAGATGAATTAAAAATTATCACACAAGAGTTCCAGACATATCCCCATCTAGCAATCTGGACTTCATAACCTTCATTGACTAGAGCCTCTTGAACTAATTCTAGCTCAAATGAATGCTTGATAATCCCCGTCAATGATCTTTTAACCCAGCTCGAGCTTTTAGATGGAATGTGCACTTCCAATAAGTTTTTCTTGTCTTTCCCTCTGTGATGACCTTCAGCTGAAAATTCCTTTAATCCCAAAACACTTCTCGACATCCTGTTCGACATCAGAGCATCTTTATATGTTCTGCCATCCCTCAAACTTCTATTAATACCATCTGACTCTTTTGAGTTAGATGTTTCAGCAGTAATCGGACATGAAGTCTTCTTGAAAGAACTATTATTACGCTCTTTCCATGAACGGGATTCCTTGTATCTTGCAGTTCCAACCGTAATCCTTCTCCCATCTATGACTGAACCATTTAGATTATCTATTGCCCTTTTCAAACCAATCTCATTCCCAAACTGCACAAAAACAAAAGTGAAGAATCTGTATTTTGGATTTCTTGTTTCTTTGGGGATAAAGACTCTCTGAACAGGACCATGAACTAAGAACATTTCCCTTAACGCACGTCGTGAAACTCTCCGACTAAGATTATCCACAAACACCGTCCAAATCTCATCGGAAAATAACTTGCTATTCGCCTTTTCTCTCTCTCATATTGGTAGGTATGAAATTATTTTAGATCTCATTGTTGAATTTTTCATGGGCAGACATCGTTTTCCTTATTAAACTAAGATGGTCATATTGGTGATCTCTCATCGCTAAATGCATTTTTCAATCAGTCCAGATTAATAGTATCTTACATTTCTTGTGGTTGGTAGTCATTCTATAAGTAGATTTGATCTTAAGTCCCTTTCCTGCTTCTTCTTTTTCACTGGCAGTTTTGGCAATGGAGTCCGAAGCTGAAGCTCTTGGGCAGTTAACCACCGATGATCTTGACGGGAAGGTATTGACTACCCTGCTTTTATTTTTGCAATATTTAAATCCAATTTAAACTTTCCATGGCCAAATTTCCATTGTTGCTATCTGATCATTTGCATCAATTGTTGGTGGTGACCATCATAGGCCCGATTTTAACAGTGTTAATGGGTTTTTGTTGGCATAACCCTGGAATGCCAACTTAACTTTTGCCTGGTTATACTGACTCGAATCATTTTGAAATCAAAGCTTACTTTCTGAAATATTTTCTGTGAGTTTATCCAAGGATATGAAATATGGAAAAGGTTTTCCTGCAAGTAAAGTAGATCATGTTAGTAGGGGATAAGCACACTTTCTGTGAACTCAAAAGATTATCAGAAATGCATTTAGTTTAACGGAGAAGTTGCTTTTCATATTCTGGATTGTCTTACCATCTGAAATTTCATGATAAGAATACAAGATTTCATTGTACCGCAGTTCATGCATGTAGGACCCTTTTGCTGTGATTATATATATATTAGCTTATATATTTGATAATTCCTGTTTACAAAATTCTTCTTTTGATTCATAGCGAAACCTGTTACTTAAATATGCAGTTTGCGTTACTTGAGAGCACATCAGTTGACGATGATCTTGCAAACTTGAAAAAGGAACTATCTGGTAGCTCACAGGTATCTCTCATTCTTGTTTTGTGTAAAAGGATTGATTAGGTAGGTTTCCCTGTTATATATATACTTCCCCTAGACTATTTAAGATTAGATTGGATTATTCTTTCAAATTGCATTAACAATATGTTTAGCCGTCTGGTTATCGGGTCAGGAATCAGATTAAGAATTGACTGACCAAAAGCCAAGAATAAGAATCAAATTTGAGGGCTAGACTATCTATTCTAGGCACTTGAATTATAGTCAATAGTGCATGTTTGACTCTGTATTTGGGAATTGAGTAATTTAATCATTGTAAGTTTAATTTGGTTCAAGCAATTAATTACATGGACAGCAGTTTTGAATTTAATGAAAACCTGTCTGCATGTTGATGTAGGCTTCCTTAAATCTAAGTGAATGAGTTGAAGTTTGACAAAGCATATAAATTCTTTTGCTACTTCGGATCTATCTATAGCTTGTATTGTCAAGTTTTAGTTCATCTCAGCATTTTGACTGTTTTCCACTAGCAATGCTATTACATTTTTCAGCGTTTATTTCATGGAAAATAATTTGGTCAACGGAAAATTATTTATACTAATCTTGAATTTCAACCATTTGGTTTTTCTCCTTCCTCCGACCAACAGAAAGGAGAGCTTCCACCTGGAAAAACTGTTTCTGCGTCCACAAACAAGCCGTTTCCATATCGGGATGCTGAGATTGAGACGGAGCTTAATGAATTGAGGCAAAGGGCAAAGGAGTTGTAAGGTTTCTAATCTGCATACCGAGAACTCTGAACGAGGTTGGGCTCAATTTAGGTTTGATATGAAATATTTTAAGGATCGAGCCACAGTTTGGTTTATGGACACATTTAGGGTGTGCTTGATAGTCGTAATTCGTTTTTCGAAAAATGTTTTGCTCAGTTTTCAATGTTTGATAATTGTAAAATATTTTTCAGTGTTCGATATTCCTAATTAATTTTTCTCAATGTAATTCATTTTCCTTTTTTTGTATTTTTTTATAAAATAGTTTATCCTGATTTTTCGTAAAATATTTTCTCAACTTTTCACTTTAAAGTATTGGAGGAGAGTTAGTGGTAATGTCAATATTCTTAAATAAAAATAGTATAAAAAAAGTAATATCATAAAATTATGATATGATTCGGCTAGATTTTGATTCCGTATAGAGACTTTTGATATTTAAACTTATATTTAATATACATATATGCATACTTTTAGCTATATTATTAATAACGAACTCTTTAATTGTATAAGTGTTATTTATTGATCGAGTTTCAGTTTAATTTAAAAATTATTAAAATGGTTTTACTTTAAATCATAATTGATATCATAAAAACAATTCTCATGAAATTAAAAAATATTTTTATATTGTCGTAAATCTTACTAATGAGAAGTACTTTTATTAGCTCAAAAGAATCTTTACATTTGTGAAAGTTGCGTTCGTGCACATAATTTTACGTGTTTATTTTTGAAATTATTAAATAATATATTTTCAATAAGTTAATTTAAATGATTTTTAATGTTATTATAATATAAAATATAAATCTTAAATATTTTTAAATAATTAACATAAATTATTTGTAAATTTTAATTTGAATATATAAATAATATTATAGATATTAAAATCAAATATAAACCTAATTCTTATAAATTCAAATATATAAAATACTATATATTTGATAGAAATTTCAAGGAGTTAAATAATTATAAAACTCAACATAAATACTAAAGAAACTATCTTATATTTAAATATATAATCTAAAGCTGCTAATTTTTAATTTCGTATCAAAACTAACGAATGAAGCTGCGCTTATTATCTCAGTGCTCAGCCTAAAACGCTGCACTTTTCTCTTCCCGCCAGACAGACTCCGGAAAACGACATCGTTTTTCTCACAGCGTTATCCATATTATCTTCCGTCTCTGTTCTCTTCAACGTAAATTTTATTTTATTTTTTAAAAGAAATCCTTTAACAGAAGAAATGGCGTGTGCGAGCGTTGCAGCAATTTCTTTAAATTTCCAGCATTTTCAGAATCATAGAGTAAGTTGGGAAACCCCATAATTTCTCTCTAATTAATTCAGTTTTTGGTTAACTTCATTGATTTTTCTGTTTTTTCCCTCAATGGAAGTAGGTCTCTTTCAGTAGCTGCTGCTGCTTCAACAGAAGAATAAAGTTACGTTACAACCAGCAAATTCTTAGTCACAAGTGAGTCCCATTTTTACTTTCTATCTCTTTTTGTTGATATTTTTTTATATAGTTTTTTTGGCTAATTTGTTTATTGTGATATTGGAATTTAGAGTTGTTAGTTATACGAGGAAGCCGATATCTGCACTTGCTTCTGGTGAATTTCATATTTTATTTAATTTCCATATCATTTCCCCCAAATTTTGCCAGTGTAATTGAGTGGATAATTTAAATGATTTGGTGTTGCACATTGGTATCCAATTTTAATGTTGTAGGTTTGGAGGCATCTATTTCAGATACAGATAGCAAATTGATAGCCTTGAAAGATGCTACGATCGTGGTCGAGTCTAGAGACGAAAACAAGATACAGGTGTAGTCCTAAACATCAACCTTTTGTCATTGAAATCATATTTTGTATGTTAATGTAAATACATTTGATTCGTATATTTTGTATTTTAATGTAAATACATTTGATTCGTATACTTTAACATGAGCATGCTTTTGCACCAAAATGTTCTTTGTGGTAGAGCTGTTCATAGACAGTTAACCGAATCATTTAGTCTAAGAGAAAATAACTCAGTGACCAAAAATGCCTTATAATATACGATTTTAACAAATTTTTTTTGGATTTGCCAAAAAGACCAACTAAATCGCAATGCGATCGATAATTCGCAACGCGATCTCCAGTATCGCAAATCAGTTTCTAGATTCGCAACGCGAACTTTGACTATCGCATTGTGAACTTGGACTATCGCAATGCGAACTTGGACTATCGCAATGCGAACTTGGACTATCGCAATGCTAATATGTATCGCAATGCGAACTTCGACTATCGTATTGCGATTTACATATTCGCATTGCGATAGTCCAAGTTCGCATTGCGATAGTCGAAATTCGTATTGCGATAGTCGACTATCGCATTGCGATAGTCCAAGTTCGCATTGCGATAGTCGTGGTCGTAGTCGTGATCGTGGTCGTGGTAATACGTGTCTTCGACACGTCCGCGCGAATACTATCTTTTTAGAAAAAATTCTTAAAAAACAAATGCAATACCACCAGTCGCAATGCGAACTTGGACTATCGCAATGCGAACTTGGACTATCGCAATGCGATAGTCGACTATCACAATGCGAATTTCGACTATCGCAATGCGAACTTGGACTATCGCAATGCGATAGTCGAAGTTCGCATTGCGATAGTCCAAGTTTGCATTGCGATAGTCGACTATCGCATTGCGATTTACATATTCGCATTGCGATAGTCCAAGTTCGCATTGCGATAGTCCAAGTTCGCATTGCGAATTTGGAAACTGATTTGCGATACCGGAGATCGCGTTGCGAATTATCGATCGCATTGCGATTTAGTTGGTCATTTTGGCAAATCCAAAAAAAGTTGGTTAAAATCGTATATTATAAGGCATTTTTGGTCAATGAGGTTATTTTCTCTTAGTCTAATTGTTAGGTTAACAAGATTTTTCTAACCGTAACCTAACTTTTAAGAAACGGTTAACTGTTAACGATTAATTGTTATTAACAGTTTGTTTACAGGTTAATTGTATTACAATTATTTTTTTAAAATAACAAAACGTGAAAGTTTTAAATACATATAAAAAAGTATAGCACTTAACACATACTTACACCAATGTATGTGAATAAAATAAAAAATTATAGCACTTAATACATACTTACACCGGTGTGAGTATGTACATCTCCCAAAAAGTGTAGCACTTAACACATACATCTTCCAATATAAGTATAAATTTAATTTATTAACGGTTGACCGTTTATCAAAATTCATAATCGTAACCTTAATCGTTAACTATCATTTTTAGTGGTTCAGTTAATCGAAACCGTTTAACATTAACGGTTCAGTTAATTAACCTGTTAAAGGTAACGATTATGCCGGTTAACAGTTATGATTAAATGTTACGGGTTTTTTTTAACACCCTACTTTGTGGAATGGTGAAATTAGTTGCCGGAGCCATGTTTAAATAAACTTTTTTGAAGCCTTTATTTTCTTGACCGAGCAATCCAACATTTTAAAGAAGTTGTTTATTTTGGTGGTTCATATGTGTGTATGTTAAGTGTTTTTAGGAATAATTCTCGTCGTGTTCTACTGCCAGCTTCGAGTGGATGTTACCGGGATCGAGACACAAAAGGTATTTAACAAGGTTTTGACGGATTTGGCTCGTCAAGCGCCACCGATTCCCGGATTTCGTAGAGAGAAAGGAGGTAATGCATTGATGCAGTTATATAGAGATTAAGCTCTCAATCATGGTGATTTGTTCATGAATTTGCTCATCTATGCAATTCCAAAGCCAAACTCTAATTCTGACTTTGTTCTTTTTATTTGGCGCCAATGCAGGAAAAACAACAAAGGTAATTTCAAGAGCACCATTCTCATATCAACTTGTGAACCTACTACATAGATTTTTTGTTTTTGGCTACAACGCGGGCATCGACTTGGAGAAGGGATGGATCCCAACTGTTCGGATTTGAACCCAGCCTAAAGTGGCTGCATGAACCAATTGGTTCCTATTAAGTTTGCTTCTGCATTGTACAGAAGGACTCATTGGATAAATTTGGCAGGTTCCAAAAGAAGTCCTGTTACAAGCTCTTGGTGAAGACCGTGTTACAAAGTTTGTCGTGCAAGAAATACTTACCTCCACTATAGCTGATTATGTAAAAGATGCAAGTTAATAAATATGATTACAAAGTAGTATGTATTCAAAGTTATATTTCGACTTTTTTAGTTTACCTCTCGTGTAGATCTGGAATTAACTCTTGCTCCTCGTCTGAAATAGGAAAATTTGAATGTGAGAGACAAGAAGGTTACCACAAGCCAGACAGCAGAAGAGCTCAAAGTTTCATTTACTCCGGGGAAGGATTTCGGGTTTAATGCAGTGCTGGAATTAGAAGAAGAATCTGAATCTGAAGATTCATAGGTTAACTCATCTTACTTTCTCCTTGCTCAAAGATTCATAAGTATTTATTATTCGTTACATTTGGTCCTAGTGGAGACATTTTTCTTTGCTAGTAGGGTCAATTATTTGTTGAACGCCAAGGTCGGAACCACAAATTTATTTAGATTGTAATTCACATTGATCTAAGCAGTCGGGGCAACAGTAACCCGGCTTAGTTTGGTCTTTAAAATGTAGCATTCATCAGGTCTGGGAGGTTAAAGTTTAAGGTCAACAGTTGACGCTATGAATTCAGGGCTTGAAACATATAGCAGCAGTCAAGTAAATATGACACGGTTCCTTGCAGGATGGACCGAAGGAGGACGGATGGGTAATTGTCCAGAAAAAAATTAAATTTTCATATATTTTAAATATTTTCTTTAAATTTTATATTAATAATATATTTTTGTCTTAAAATTTTATAGTCACCCACTAAAATAAAATAAAATCATGAACTAATTAATTCCATGCATTTACTACTTTTTCTTTCATTTTTTTTATATTTTCCACCAAGCGTATTTATATCAAACATATATTTTATCTTTTTATTTTTTTCATATTTATATATCTTCTCAACGCTATTGATGTACAATTCAATTTCGACTGTCCATTTTAGGCTTTCTTTTGTTTTTTTTATCTTTTTAAAACTTTTTTTGACAAAATTAATCATTTTTTTATAAGAGAGTGAATTATTTAAATTTAATAATTACGTACTTGTGATAATTTTACTAACCAAACATATAATTTTTTAAAGGGTAAACTACCTATTTAGTCCCTTAACTATTCGTGCAATTCCATTCTAGTCACTTGATTTTTTTCAAACTCATACCTAACGTTATATTTTAGTTTAATTTTTGTCACCCTCCAATAAAAGATTAATAGAACTGTTAATGTGATATTTTTTATTTTTATTTCAATGATGATGTGGCATTATCTTAAGGTGACACATTAGTATTATCGTTAAATTTTTAATGGTGGGTGATTAAAATGAAACTAAAATGTAACATTAGTTGTGATTTCACAAAAAACAAATAGTTTAGTGACCAAAACAAAAATGCAAGAATAGTTAGGTAACTAAATACATAATTTACCCATTTTTAAAATATGAATACATCATTATCTTTTTGAGTCTTGATGTTCAAAGGTGAGTCATCATCGATAATCATCCTGGTTTGCCCCACTGCTCACCGAAAATTGATCACTTTTCCATGTCAATTGGTATTCATTGGCTGTCATTTTTAATTTTGTGTTGGACAAAGAAATTGAAGAGGTGTTCTTTTCTTCTTCTAAGCATTTATAATTCTCTCTCTATATATGTGTATGGTTGGATAAGTTTGGGTATCATCAGTCGAATTCGAAACAACATATGAGATCTTATTGAAACAATTTTCAAAATTTGCTGTCATTTTCTCACACAAATAAATCCATGTTTTCAGCCATAATCTCCGATTCTTAAAACTCTCCCATCACTCTCCAACTCATTAATTCTAATATTATTTATAATTGAATTCAGAGTGATAATATATTCATCTTGTGTAAATTATAGAATATATCACTTTCGTTTAATTTTTATACACTTTTATTTCACATAATTCAGAAAACGTAATATTTGGTCACTTTTATTTTTATTTAATTAAGATATGGTCACCGAAGGGTTAACCACCGTTAGCTTCCGCGATGGATCTCTTTCATTATCCCTATACGGTTTGTTTTCTGAAAATCTAAAGTTCTCTGGTTTAAAGCTGGTTCATTCTGCTTCTCTGGATGGTTTCTTCAGTCTCGCATGTCCCTTCTGGTTCCCTGCCCCGTGCAATGCTTCTGGCTAAGGCTTGGTGCGATCACTATTCTGGTGTCATGAGCATTGAGTTCCTTCTTGGCAATGTATTTTGCAAGGGTTTTTATTTCGCGGTGTAGCCATGCTTCTATGTAATCGTCAACCTCCATTCATAATTTATATTTGGGTACTCTTTTACCCTTTAAGATTTAGAAGAGCTGACCTCTCAACCAGCGCTGGGAAAAAGTTATTTGTTATATAATTATTTATAAAATATAGTAAACAATAAATTAAAATTTTTAATCTTAGTATTTATATTTTAAATTACAGTATTGATTTTTAAAAGGAATTATAAATATTCAAATTAAATATAGAGATAAGATCTCTTGGCGGTATGTAAAATTTTTAAATTTTATATACTTTTTGAATTATTATATGAATGAAAAATTATTAATAATATTAATAACGGTAAATAAAGGGATTTTTATGAGAAAAAAAAGGCATTATTCTGAAATTTGAAAGTATTAATCTCAATTATTAAATTCATTTAATTCAAATATTCAAAAAATGTGTAGAAAATAAAAATTTACATTGCATTAATTGATCCTAACTCTTAAATATAAGTAAGTTATAACATTATTGTATATCATATTTAAAGATTAAATCATCGCTACATGCATATTATTATCGAGAGTGACTTCATGTAGGTTGTGCGGCAATTAGCACATTATCGCTCGGATCGTTTAATGTTTCGGTTCACTCGTTGAGGCCCGCCATCTCCTCGACTCTGCCCGCATATGTGCATCCGCCATGTCCATTGAGAAGCTAATAGAGTCGCTCATTTATTAGCTACTTATGTATCTTAGTCAATCATGTTAGGCCTGTAAAAAAATCGAACGTTCATCAAACTGTTCGTGAACCGTTTAGCGGGAAGTTCGTTTATTTATTAAACGAATGAATATGAATAAGATTTTGTGTTCATTTAATTAAATGAACGAACACAAACCGATGACTCGTTCGTTCATTTACGTCCGTGAACGTTCGGTAATATGTTCGTTTACTTTCGTTCGTTTATGTTCGTTCATTTATATTTAGGTCAATCTCTCTAGACCCATTTAAAATATTAAGGCTCAACAAATTTTAATATGATACTCATTAATATTTTAAAATTCAATTAATTTTAAACACAAATAAAAAAAAGCCCAAAACAATTAAATAATATATAATCCTAAAATTGTTAGGAAAGAAAGAAAAAAATATATTTTTCAAATCTCAATTTTATCGCTCACGTCTCATGCTATTTGGACTTTGTCCATCGCTGTCTAACGCTTTTCACTGAACTACCGGAGACGACTCGGTTGGAGCCTCGAAATAAATCTTTTTCAAGACTTCGAGATCTTGTTGTAAAATAAATTCATTTATGTTCGTTTACGTGATTATTGTTGTTGTGATTTATGTTCATTTGTTTTGTTCATTTACGTTCGTTTACTGTGTTTGTTTACGTTCGTTCATTTGTGTTCGTTTATCATTTAAATAAACGAACACGAACAAGTTGCATTCCTTAACGAACGAACACAAAAAAAAATTTGTTCGTTTATGTTCGTGTTCGTTCATTTGTTTGGTTAAAGTTAAACAAACAAACAAACATGAACATACATTCGTTCGTGTTCGTTCAATTCGTTTACAGACCTAAATCATATCATTGTATTTTAATTTTGCATTTCCTTCTTGCATTTCCTTTGTATTTACTTATGACACTAATTTCATTTAATGAAAATATGATTAAATTTTTAAAAAATAAAAAATTATAAATCTAAATTTTAATATTTAACCAACCCTAATTTATATATTTGTGACTCTCTGTGTCTCGTTGCATGGTTGAGTATTAGCTGTCACTGTCGAATAAAAAACCAAGAAGAAACTATTCACAGAAAAATTAATTTTCAAATAACAATTAATTGTTCTTTTTCTTACACGTTTTTCATTTATATATTTAATGTGTTGTTGGAATATAAAATCACAATAACTCATGTAAAAAAGTTGAAAAAATTATTTTGTTAATAGTATTAAACTAATACTTAGGATCTTATTTTCTCAAAAACCCTTATAAAAACTCTTGACCAAGCTCCATTTCTTCTCTGCTTGTTTCCCAGATTTTTTATTGTCCATACGCTCTCTTTCCCAGGCTTTAGCACAGGTGGGTTAAGCAAAATATCCCAGTTTTTGGATTAAAGGAATTTTGATTCTTCATTCAACTTTTCAACTTTTCAGACGCAAAACTTCTGATTTTAGCTACCCAAAGAAAGTTAAGCTGTTCATAGTTGTTTTGTTGAAGAAAAAATAGAACAAAACTGTGTTTTGGACTCTGGGTGTTGATTTTTTTTTTGAAAGGGAAATGAAAAACTTCATCATAAAGCCTTTAACTTTGCCTTTTCCTTGAGAAAAAAAGCTTTTGTTGAAAATTTCTGCATTTTCCTGATTTGGATCGTGAAGATTAAGAACTTATCGTATAAGGCTTGAGATTCTGCTTTGAGCTGTGTTTTTGGCAATGCAGACTTTATATTCTTGGTGAGTTGTTTCCCTTTAGTTTCTTTAGCTGTTCTTTCCCTTTAATTCAATACTCTGTTTTCCATGAAACTGGATTCCTTATGATGGTTACTTTGTATTTGTATACTTGAATGTTGCCTTGAAATCATTTGTGTCATCATGTTTTTGTTAAAATAATCATTGGTTGGTACAATTAGAAATTAGTTGTACTTATGGTTCTTTCAAGCATGATTCTTTTTTTTAATCATTTGGGCCTGTAATAGATCATTCATAAGTTAATCACACACAGAAATGATTACTGTGTTTTTTCCCCTCAAAATCATTTACATGAATTAGTATGTATTCTTTTACTGAAGTTTGATTATTGTGCTTGGCATGAATAGTCCATGGTCCTCTACTGGTTTTTGAGTTTTAGTCTTATGGCATATTTCTGATTTATAAAAATATTCTTATTCCGTGCATGATTCGCTTATTCTCCCAAGCCAAAAGTTTGATGATAATGTTTTTTTTTTTAATGAAGTTGTTGTGCTTTCATTATTGAATGGGTGTTTATAAAAGTATATGTCTCTGATACATGAATGTGTGATTATCCACTGACCATGGAAGTGAATGTTTTTTCCCCGGTTTATCCTATTTTATATAAAAACGCAATGGGTGTCTCATGTGGTTTATATAAAATTTGATTATTTTTGAAGTGTGTAATGGGAATGATTAGAGCTTGTTTGCATGCTCAAATTGGATGAATTCTACCATGGATGCTTCTTTGATCAAAATAAATTTCATTGATAGTCGACGACTCAACTGCGATAGATGATTGACAACTGCAGGATGCCTTTCTCCGATGTCAAAACACGAAATGCAAAGGAACAATCACCATTCTCAATAAGGCCTCAGGCCCTCGAGCCTTACTTATGTTGTTGTTTTTGTTTTGCTCATGCATTTCTTTTGTTAAAACTAGACTGAAGTTTAGGTTTGCAGGAAAGCAAGTTTGAATCATCGGTTTGATTATGCGTGTACAGATGATTTTATTTCATATTAGTAACATGGCCATGAATTCATAGTTAACAAGTTTTAATTAGATGATCTTCTACTGCTGCAAATTCGTGAATATTTTATGGTAAGCACGGTCTTTCAGTCTAGTTAACATACTTTCTTGGATATTTTTTACCATGCTTTTCATGTAAGTTGGGTTTCGGGGTGTGATCCTTTTTTCTCTTTTAAACTAGTGGAGAAGGGATGGAGATCAGAACTATGATGGAAAACAAAAGGGGCCCTTGCTCTGTCGACCATAGCAATATCACTTCTTTGGCATCGAAAAGGCAGAAGGCCGATTTGTCTATCTCCACAAAGGTTTTTTTAGCCATCTTTGCTCCACATCATATATCTTCTCAGTGATACATATCATATCTGGATTCATGTCTTCACCATGTACTAAACTAAGTGCAATATGCCGCTTGATGTTGTTTGTTTCTGATACAAGTATTTATCTTAGTTTACTCTCTGGCAATAGGATAGAAAAGAGAAGTTTGGCGAATGCATTGTCGCTCTGTAGCAGCTTGTTTCACCGGAAAGGTACATTTTTTCAATTAATTATTTACATCGGAGTAGCATTTATTTGTCTTTATTGGCGGAAGTTGCCTATCCTGTTATAACTGTGAAGCCGATTTGGTTCATTGCAGACGGATACAGCTTCTGTCCTCCTGGAGGCAATGGAATACATACAATTTCTTCACGAACAAGTTGGTTTTCATTTCCTAATTCCTACTGTTCTTAAATTATCCTCGCAATTTACGTTTCAGTACGTTAAGAAACTTTCATTTATAAATGGCAATTTTAACTTCAAATTTCTTGGCCTTCTGTGTTTTTCGTGTGTTTACAGGTGTTGAGTGCTCCGTACCTCCAAACCACACCTACAAATAATAGGCATGTGAGCATCAAATGGACCCAAAGTACTAAAAATTTATGATATGTAACATGAAACACAATCATAGTTCAGAAGTTATGGCTGCCTTTTAACGGGATTTCTTTTTTGCTTCCAGAATGTAGAGCATTATAGCCTGAGAAACCGAGGTCTATGTCTTGTTCCAATCTCTTGTACTGTCGGAGTTGCTCGGAGCAATGGTGCCGATATTTCGGCTCCCATCAAAACCACTTCTCCTAAGTTTGATTAAGACATCTCACAATTCGGTTGACATCTCATTTCACAGCAACCGGGAGGTTTTGAAATCCATGAAATCGTTAGTAGGTAAAACGACTTATCATGCAATGCAGAAAATTTCCTGGTTGTAACAGAACCTATATAGGTAATGAACTAAGATAGGAATATGGTGGTAGGTAAAATTATTAGTCTTAGATTGGCAGCATTGTGCATCTAAAATGCAGCCCTGCACCTCTCTAGTTTTATGCCGGTGCCAGGAACGACATGCATTCAATCTATTCGGTTATAAAAACTCTAACTCTTTAAATTATATCTATCGATATATTATAAGTAGTATCCGAGCCAACTAATGTACCAAGCTATGATCAATGTATGGGTGGTGTACTTTTGAAGGAACCCATGCCTCTCAAAATAGGGGCTAAAGGTGGCATTAATGATCAGGTTGGCCTCTGTTGTTGAAAGGTCACTTTTGTAATGGCATTTTCTTTTATCATCGTTGATCTGAAATGTGTACCACTGTCAGCATCCATTGCTGGGATTCTTTCATATTGAAACCTGCAACATCCTCCCTGTATTACACATGGATGATGAGTACTGCATAGCTTGTGATATATCATCACATAAAATTGCACAAGAGTCTTCAAAGGATTTATTTTCGTAACCAACACATCTTTGTTAGGTGAGATGGTGTTATGATTGTGTGTTTGAATCCTTGAACTCATTTAAGGGAGATTATATCTTTCAAATCTTAGGAAAGACTGAAACCTTGAAGCTAGTTCAAGAAAGACTCAAATCTTTTTAGAGTTTTTGATAGACAATTTACTTGGGAGTTTATTATTAACTCTATTTTAAATTTTAGTCTTATTTGATTTTTTTAATTAGTTCAAATTTTAAATTAATCAATTTAATAGTAGAAAGACTAATTTGGTATGATCCCTATAATAGATGAACCTACTAAGTACTTTTCATCCTATTTCACATTAGTTTATTATTATTTCCACCCCTTTAAATAAGAATTAATCTCATCTAGAGATGATAGTAGAATAGACCAGTGAAAAATTTTACTCACCCCCTAAGACATTTTTAAGAAGATGGAGTAAAAACACTTCAATCAGGAACTATTAGAACTGCATGGGTTGAGGCATTTTTAAGAAGACCAAGTTTCATTCTTATTCTAACTACACATCAATGCAATGCAACGCCCCTAAGACATTAGGAAGTTTAACTCGGTTAACAGGTTCAAGTAATCCTTCCTCCAATAGCCTGTAAAAGGAAAACTGGGGCTGGGTGTTGCCAGTACGTGAATAGGATCAATTACTTCCCCATTAATTCGATCACAAACAAGGTGTCTTCATGACAGTGCAAGGAATGTCATCAATTTCCAATCAACAGATCAAAGTACAGCACTACAGCTAATCCAATTTAGAATTCTCTTAAGGTGCATGATACATTATTCTAGTTTGATCTCTTTTAAGTCAGAAGAAAGTAAATAAGTCATGATCAAGCACATAATTTATAAATGACAAAGGCTAGCAAGAAGAAATCACTCAATCTTGCTGAATTAGGTTTTACTTTCTCTTTCAATAACTGGAATGTGAACAAAAGTCTACGAGCTTGCGGAACTGGGTTGAACTTTCTTCTGCAGGAATTGCAGTATGTGTTCCCGTTTCCAATTGTCGATTCTGCACTAGAATCACAGGAGTAAGAAGCCTCATTGTTTTCACCAATATGTAAGTAAGAATAATGAAAGCTAAAAAATGGGGGAGACTGTTTTTTTCTAGGTCTTTAAAAAGGCTTGCTTTTTTTTTTTTGTTGCATGTGTGCATATATCTCGAGAATCAACAAGACTTACTCGTCTAAACAAAAGTAAAACTTAGTGCATAAACAAATATTAATTTTTTTCATATTGTATTTTTCTAAATATTTTGAGAGCGAGAATTGACGAAGAAAAACAGAAGGTTCTAGGATGTAGAGTTCTTGTGCCAAACTTTAAATGGTGAGACAGCCAAAGTAACCGTCGGCATAAATTCCACTCTATTTAGTGATTATTGCATTTCAATCGAACGCGAGCTAAGTGCATCAATAGAAGGAACCTAACCTTATAGTTTCCTTATGTTGGCCCTCATCATCCAACATGATCAACTTGGGAGGAGAATTGAAAAGATATTGAATTTTAACTGTCGGAAATTTGTCCTTCTCTTCTTCAATGAAACCAACAATCTCTGGATAGAATACTAGTTTCCTCATGCATACTTCCAGTATTGCACCTGAATATGTAATCTGCAATTGCACAAATATAGATGCAACTTTAGAAATTAGGGGAAAGAAGGGGGGGGGGAAACAGCATGTGATACCAAGTTGAAGAAACAACTTGTGTTCCTATAGAAAACGAAAAAGGTGATTAAGAACAAGGAAACAACAAATATCAAGAATTTAGCAGCATTTTGTTCAGCAGTCCCAACACATGGTTCGTTTTCCACTTCTTTTTGGGGATAAATAGCATTCCTTTGCCAAATAAAGGAGAAAATGAAAATGACTGTAGTCGGGGAACTAGTTGTATGATCTTAGAATACAATGGTTGGTAAAACACATTTTCAAAGAAGATAAGACATGTTCCATGTTCTTAAATTTAATACGAAAAAAAAGTGTCGTTTTATCAGAGGTACATATCATTAGTATTATACATGCTAGGATTCAATAACGATGAAAAAATCCATGAACTCTTTTGCCTAAAGCAACATCCTCCCTTCCACATCTCTCTGTATAATCTGAGAATTAAATGATTTCCACTAGGTGTATTATAGAACTGAAAAAGATTATTTTAAAGAAGAAAAATAGAGGATGAAAACAAACATTTGAGGTTGGAAACCTATTAAAGAATAAAATTTTAAACCCCACTCCCATACCAATAAAACCCATCTCCAAAGCATATTTCATACCTTACTTGTAGAATCATCCGAGTCTTCAGTGCAACATTTCTTGCAGTCAGAGATCAACTCTGTCATCAAAACATATAGTTACAGTAAGATTGATGCATGCAGTGCATTTTTCAATTGTCTGGTCTTCGGTGTTAAGTTTAATATGCAATATGAACACACCAAAGCAGTTGTGTTCGTTAAAATCCCCAGTGTCACTTTTTTGCCCATTAATAAAATGCATTACAATTAGCACACGTTGATGTTGCCACATCACACCAAGTCTTCCCACCTTAAACTATTATGATATGGTTCAGCATACTTTGACGATGACATCATAAAACAGTAGAATCACAAGGCATTTTCATTTTGTACTGAAGGCTCCAAATAGTTCTACATCTAACCAGTGCGGTTAAGATGTTCCCAACTGCATGGGAGGATGACAACCAAATAAGTGTCCAGTGAGCTTTTTGGTGCTAGATGCATCTCACCACGGCTAACTGGTGCTGTAGTTAAAAGCCAATTGGAGCCTAAGGAGTTTGATTGCACAAAGGAGGCAGGGAAATTAAATTTGAATGTAGCCTAAGGAATTAGAATATTTGATTACACAAAAGGAAGCAGGGAAATTTAAACAACAGTAAAACTGTAATACTTTCCTAAATCAACAAAGCGGACTTGGTATTCTAATGAATAACTACTTCAGAGAAATTAAAGTTTCCAATATAATGGATCCACAACTTGAGAAATTTGAGAAAGAAACTGATCTTAAACTGGCAATTTTAATTCATTTAAATACCCTAAACTGTTGCTTCCAACTACAAAGATGATTATACAAAGAATTATGATGATTAGTTGAAATTTGACCTTATTACACAGAGCTACACTATTGTCAACTCGCAAAAGTATCAAATTGAAGCATCATTGCCCCCAATTATAGATTAGACAAAGCCTAAGAGACCACAAAATCAAAATAAACACAGATATAAAAAGGAAAACCCTACACAAATATAACCGAAACTAATGCAAAGAATTCATCAAACAATCAGAACTTAACATAATTTAATCAAACAAACCGCTAAAACAGCATAACAATGGAAATCAAAGATAAAAAAATTGATTAAAAAAATATATTTTTTTTTTGTTTCTTTTGAAGAGGGGATTGAGTCAATACCATTGTCCTTGATGTACTCGGCAAAAGTGTTGCAATCAGAACAAAGGGCTAAACCCGTGAAACCCAGATCCTCACATTGCTTTGGACTTAGCAGATCTTTTGACGATGATACGATAACAGAGGAGGCAGATGAAATTAAAGCAACTATTAGCAGCTGATAATATAACGTGTTGCTCAACATCTCTTACCTTGGTCTTCCAACTTTCCTTTAACAAGGCTTCCTCTTCGAAGTTGATAGCCAAAACAAAACGAAATATGTGCCCCTAGGAAGACGAAGGTTGATTTAAGTTAAAAATGAGTAAAGTACACAAATGGTCCTGTAACTATAGGGTTTCACTTTTTGAGTCCTCAGTCTATTAAAAGTTACAAAATGGTCACCCAACTATTCATATGTTCCAAACTCGTCATTTTCTGTTAAAAATTGATGGCCTTCTGAGTTGGACGTTAACTTACTGACGGAATATGATAAAATCTGATCTTAGAATCGTTTGATTTGTATTATATGGATCGAATTCATGTTTACATTATGTCATTGAGCCATTATTTGCAAGCAACGACGGTGCATTAGACATCATTAAAATATAATTTTGTCATATCTCAGTCAACATGTTAATTTACAGCTCAAACGTTAGTCAAATTTTTTAAAAGAAAAAGATAAGTTTAGAACATATGAATAGTCAGATAATTATATAATTGGGAACTATTTTATAACTTTTAATAGTTGAGGGACTTAAAAAGCAACACCTTATAATCGGGGGACCATTTGTGCCCTTTACCCTAAAAATTTACTAAAATATTTAAGGGAGTGCATAAATATTACGAAGGATAAACTATATGTTTAGAACCTCAACTATTAATTTTATTCTGTTTTGATCACCCAACTATTTTTTTTTAAATTGTATATATTGTTTAGTTTTTTGTTTCATTTTGGATGAGTGTCGTCATTAGATAACACCACATCATCATTGAAAAAATTGAAAAAAAAAGTATCATGTAAATAGTTATGTTAATTTTTTTAACGGTGAATGACAAAAATGTAACGAAAATATAATGTTAGAAAAGATTTTGAAAAAAATAGTTAGGTGACCAAACCGAAACAAAAGTAATAGCTGGGATACTAAACATGTAATTTATCCTATTATTAAAGATATATAAATTTAGAATATTTAAAATGATATTAATTTTTGTATTGATAATGAAACTTTAAGGAAGTTTTTAACATTCTCAAAATTAGTAAAAATAATAAAAATAGAAAAAATTAAAAAAGAAGATATAAAATGTTTTCTTATAGGGTACAATTTATGTTTAGTACCTAAACTATTCCTTTTGCTTTAGTTTGGTATCTAAATTTTATTTTTTTTCAAAACTATACATAACATCTAGTTTAGATTTCAATTTGTACCCACATTAAAAAAATTAACAGATCTATTGACGTACCAAAAGATGTTATTTTATTGAAATTTGTCGTACCAATTGAACAAGTTCTTAGAGATTTTAATTTTTTATTCAATTTAATGGACGACGAGTTTCAATAAGATAATATTCTTCTTTAAATTTGTTAGGAGGACATGACGAGTTTTCAGGCCACTAAAATAAATGTTGTAGATCCGAAAATATTTTCCTAATACTTTTAGATGAAAATATTATTTTCCTAAAAAAACTCAAAATGAAAGTGTAAAAGAAAAAGAAAATTGGCAAAAACAAAAATGAGGACCTATAAAAAATAGCAAAATGTGACCCAAGCAAAAAAAAAAACCAATGAAATAGTAAAATATATTTGTTCATGAATACAAATTTTATTCAAAAAGGAAAACAATATATAATATGTATAAAAATGCAAAATTAATAAAATTTGAATCACTTAAAGAGTTTAGAATTTGTTAACATTAAATTACCTTTAATTGGTACTTAGAAAGTAATTGTTTTTAAAAGTTTGGCAAGCTTTTATTTCTTTGAACTTTTACCAATGAAAAAAAAATAGTCATTATATCGTATTTATATAAACTACTTTCTCTGTTTTATAATTTATATCTTATATTAACTACACATGGTTTTAAAAAATATATTCGATCAAGAAAAATGATAATATTATTCTTAAAAAGTGAATGATAAATTGTTATTATTATGGACAAAATAATCAAACCACTTCGATTGTTAAAGAAATAATTGTTATCTTTAGAGATGTCGAGTTTGAGTATGACGTTTATAAGAGCGTTTAAATGTTTATTGTCGAATAATTTAGAGTCTTTCGAATAAATATTATCTTATAATAACTTCAGAATAATAATAAAAAGAAATTGGTAAATAAATAAGTTGTAACGGGTGAAGTTTGGTTACTAAAATTTGTAATATTTGTGAAATAGAATTTATTTTTACTGAATGCGGAGATGTTGGGAATCTGAAAAGGCCTTTCGCGCCTGCTCAGATCACCCACTCCATACCGCCTCATAAGGTGGAGATCTTTAAATCTCTGGAGGGTTGGGCTGAGAACAACCCTCTGCCTCACTTGAAGCCGGTCAGAAATGTTGGCAGCCCGCCGACTTTCTTCCGGATCCTCATTCCGATGGATTTCAAGAGAGAGTCAAGGAGGTCAGGGAAAGGGCAAAGGACATTCCTGATGATTACTTTGTCGTATTGGTCGGCGATATGATCACGGAGGAAGCCCTTCCTACTTATCAAACAATGCTTGATACCTTGGATGGAACTCGTGATGAAACGTGTACTAGCCTTACCCCTTGGGCCATTTGGACCAGGGACTGGACCGCCGAAGAAAACCGGCACGGCGACCTGCTTAATAAGTATCTATACCTGTGCGGGAGAGTGGACACGAGGCAAATAGAGAAGACAATCCAGTATTTGATCGGATCAGGAGTGGTAAGAATAACAATACAAGCATGTAATATGTAATATTTTCATCATTTGTTCCATTCTAAATTCGTTCTCCTATATATTGATTGGATCTGCATCTGGAGAACAGTCCATATCGAACATTCATATACACTTCATTCCAAGAACGAGCAACTTTTATCTCCCACGGGAATACAGGCAGGCTTGCCAAGGAGCATAGGGATATTAACTTGGCTCAAATTTGCGGTACCATCGCCTTGGACGAGAAGCGCCATGAGACAGACTATACCAAAATTGTTGACAAGCTCTTTGAGATCGATCCTGATGAAACGGCTATGCATTTGCCTCCATGATGAAGAAGAAAATCAGCATGCCAGGCGAGTCCATCTATGATGGTCGCGATTACAACCTATTCTACCACTACTCAGCTGTTGCACAAAGAATCGGGGGTTTACACTGCCAAGGACTATGCTGATATACTAAGCTACTTAGTGAACCGATGGAAGGTGAAGGAGCGAACTGGGCTTTCAAGCCAGGGACGTAAAGCTCAGGACTACCTGCGCGCACTTCCGTCGAGAATTAGAAGGCTGAAGGAGAGAGCACAAGAAAGGGCCAAGGAAGCACCGAGTATGCCATTCAGTTGGATCTTTGACAGAGAAGTGAAACTCTAAGGTCTGAAAAAGAAGATCATAAATAAGCTGAATGCAGCAGCTTTCTCTTTATTTTTTGTGTGGATATGGTGTTGTGTTCTTAAGTAATAATAATGCAGCTGTAGTTGTAGATGATGTTTTTTGTCGGTGTCTTTTATATTCCTTGTACGAGTAGTGTGCGTTCTTTTCGTTGTAGTCTTAGTATGTAATTTGCTCAATACCTACTCTGCTAATTCGTATCAATATAGTTTGCACTCTAACGTAATTAATGAGAGCTTTTGATGGTTACGAGATATTTAGTTATTACTTGAATCTTAACTTTTTGCAGTTGAATTTAATGGATTTTAGCTTAATGTATTTGTGACCATTTGAAGGAGAGTAAATGTTAGCCAGCAATTAAAGTGTTACTATATCAGTTGTGATCATCCATAGATTATAATACTTTTGAAGTTAGTGTCAATTTTTGTATATTTATAACTTAACTCTTATTTTTTTTAATTTTTTTTATTTGAATACAAATTTATTCTTTTAAATAGCCTAGAAATAATCATAATGTAGCATCTGTTCAGAATTTTTTTAACTTATTGATAACATGCACACATTCTACAAATGTTATTGCTCGAACCCATAACCTCCATGAGATCAACATTTCCTTTTAATATTAAGATCATTTAATGGGTTCATATCTAATTATTAACATTGTTAACATGGACAAATTTATGGTCTAATAATATTTTAGGTCCTTATCAATTTAAACTTAAGTAAAATTAGACTTTTACTCCCTCTAATTTTTTAGAATAAATACATAATAAATCTCCATTATTTTAAATTTAGGTACTTTACCTCTCTCAATATTTGATTTCAGCTCCGTTCTTGACGGTTAAGTTCAAATTTATAACGTTATTTTTTACGATATGACTTCAAATTATATGTAGTTTTATTTTAGAATATCACATCTACGAAATTAACAAAAAAATTACAATAGTATTAATAATTAAAATTAAACTTTTAAATTTTAAAAACTAAAATTAGAAAAAGAAACATGAAACATATTAACTGAACTATTATTATAAAAAGTTTTATATAATATTCCAAAAAGTAAGTAGGATTATAAACAAACGTGCATAAAAGTATTAGTATAAAACACGAAACCATGTTTGACAAATCTGATAAACAAAATATATTAATAGAGTTTACATATCAAAATTTTGAAAAGATAATATAAATACACATGTATGTAAAGGATAACTAAAGTGTTATAATCTGAAAAATTGTATTGAAAATTTTCGTAAATGTTACTCAGCAAGCTCCTACTCAAATGTATCAATCTATGTATAAAAACCTTCAAACACTAATTAATTTAATTATTTATTATAGTATATATATATATATATATATATATATATATATATATATATAGAGCATTAATATAATTGAAAAATCATAAAATGAGTAATCATTCAATATTTTTCGTTTCCATAAAAAATTAAACTCAAAATATTTTGATCTAAATTGATTCAACTTAAAAATAAACTCATACGTTGAATTGATTATCTTACCTCAAAATGTAGGTAAAAGTAATCGTTTTCCTTAGATGACATTAGTGGTTCTTATCGAGCAAGTTATGCTCATTAAAAGGATTTGTTTTTCGACTCGACTTATTTCTTGTAAAGCATAATAAAATTTTGTTCTACTTATGCTTGTTAAAAACACTCGTTGTTCGTTAAGCTTACCAAAATCTTTATATTATTATTTTTAATTATAAGTAAAATTTAGTAAATTAGTAATTAATGAATTATTACTAGTTAATAATTTTGTATCTTTCTTATCGTTTATTAGAAAATAAATAAATTAATGGTAATAATTAATTAATAATTTAGCATATTTGTTCGATTCAACTCGTTAAGGTCTTGAGTCGAGCTCGAGTTCGAATCAAATAAATTAAAATCGAACATTAATTAAATTTTGACCGAGTCGAATTCGAACATCTCAAGAGTTGCTCAACTCATTAAACATTGACAGGTTTTTTTTTTTTTTGATGATTTAGCCAAGAAATGGGTAAAGGGCACGTTTTGAGAAAGGGATTGAAGTGTGTTGGGCTAGATGGTATTGATATTTATCAAATCACAAAAATCAAGATTCTTAATTGGCCCAAATGAAGAATGTGGTTCTTTCTGAATTCATGAAAGGCTCATGGAGTTTCAAATCCATACCATCAAAGTTCGCAATTTGTTTTCGGATAACTGACAGTAAGGATGACCCAAACTCTCGTATCATACAACACAATGATTAGTCATGTTAGAAAGTGTTAGGATCATACTGAATTTGTCCCATTAACCATGTTGAACAGTTAGTAGTGAAGTGTATGTGTGTATCGAACTATTCATCTGTCAACTATTAAACTGATGAATATTAACATGAAGTAGAAAGTATGCCCTAAACTATGTCAAAATGACTTGTGTAGGATCACACTTAGAATTAAGGATATTTATTGTTCCGGAGTAGTATATCCGGAGGTAACACTACAGTCTAGACTTGTTATAAGGACCAAACCCCAGGAAAAATGTTCCATTGGGCAAGTGGTGAGGAGGTAGCAAAGCCAGAGAAGCAGCAAGTTGAGCAGCAGCCTGTGGGGTGTGAGTGCCCTTCCCACCCGTCATACAAGTCCGAGTAAACCCCGGGCAAAAGCAGTTAACGCTTATTCTTCTTCTTCTAATACCTTCATTCTCAAACCTCTTTGCCAGCACCCTCGAATACGCATTCAACGCCAGCTTCGACACCGAATAATCCGTCCATATTTCCTGCCACCCTCTACTTTCCCATCTTCCTTCCTTCACGTCTTCCGTAAACATTTCCACCACTTGGTCGATTTCTTGTTCCGTTAGATTCTCTTTTTGCAGAGTTGCTTTTATGCCAAGGTTTCTCATTTTCTGCATGCAAACGTAAATATAATTATATCAATCAAACACTTTGCGCTTATTTGTTGTAGTGAAATACTTTTCATAATGGAAGCTTGAATCTTACGTTAATGGAGCCAAGCCTGGAGCTAATATTAAGAATCCTGCTAACGGAAGTTGAAAGGCGAAACAAAGGCAAGAGTGACTCAGTGAGTAGCTTGGTTCCATGGTAATTGGTTTTGATTACAGTGTCGGCGTGCTCCACCGAGTTCTCGCCGATTTCATTGAACGAAACAGCTGCATTATTAACCTGATACGAATATCAGTTGATTCAGAGTGATTTTATTGTTTTAAAAATAGTTCAAAAATTAGAAAGAAAGAAAAAAAAAGAGTGCTTCCTTTAAGTCAACTAGGGTTGGCCAATACATTATTAATCAACCATCTATAAAATTAATTAAAGAATTATCGCACGTGAAGCTGGTGCAGCAATTCGCACGTAAAGCTGGTCCAGCAATTCAGGCCCCACACATCACATGCATGACATGCAACTTTTAACTATGATAAATTTATATTATGATCAGCTTAAGCAGTAAAATAGAATTTTTTTTTGATAACGTAGGATCTCTCAAGGTCAGGCGGAAGAATCCGATCCTACAAGACAATCTTCGGGGGCTCAAAGAACCCAACACTCTATCCCCCACTTTTTTCTAAGATTCCTAACCAGCACAGTTCAAACCTAGGACATGAGACCAGCTCATAATCTCAAGAGTCCTTGCTCATATTATTAAATTTTAAAATATTTAAATTCGAGCGATTATATTTATGAGATACATATATCCAAGAGCGGACCTATGAGTAGCTCGGGGTAGCCCAGGTAACCCCTCAAATTTCTCCGAGTAGTGTTAATTTTGCTTCTCCTAAAGTTTTGTCCTGACAAAGGGATAACTCCTAGTTCATTTTGCAACCCCTAGTTCTCTAAACACAATCTGGTTCTATATTTCAGTTAAGTTCTCATGGAATTTTTTTTTGTGTGCAACCCCTAAAGTTTTGTTCTGGGTTCGTTTTCTGAGTATATCTTATCAATAAATTAAAAAAAAATAAATATATATTACTTTATAACGACTTATAACTGTGGTTATACTGATGAGTACTTACAAGTATATCCAAACCTTGAAAGGTAACTCGGAGCCATGAAACGAAGGCATTGATAGAGGCAGGGCTTGAAACATCGAGGGGAAAGAAGTGCACATTGTGAAGGCCTTGCTCCCTCAGTGTCTCCGTGGCTTTGTTTCCTCTTCCAACATCTCTGGCAGTCAAAACCACCGTCAAACCCAGCTCCGCAAAGCGCTTCACCACCGCAAACCCTATGCCTTTATTGGCTCCGGTCACCACGGCAACCGTCTCCTTACTCCACCACCTGCAAATGGCACGTCAAAATTACCATTAATGTTAGCTATAAATGAAATTAAACTTTGAGACTATGTAAGGAAAGAAACCTAGTCGATGAGGAGGGGGGAGTTGGAGAAGAGAAAGAGAAATCAACAACTTCTTTTGGTTCCATTTTTGTTGTATACAGAGAAAGTGTTAGATATAAATGTATATATAGAGAGAGATGGTAGATCGATTAAATATAATATAAGATTAATAGGGGAATGACTTTATAAAGTATAGTTTTTTAGATCAGGGGCGTGTAGTGCGGGGCGAGGAGGGCTTTGATAATGAAATCAAAGGTTGAAAGTCTTCTAAATTCCACGCCGTGTTGGTATCTCTCGACTTTTAAGTTTTTTCATCCCAAGATTTCCAACATACGTTTGACCCCAGACACTACTTGTATTTCATTTATAAAATATTAGTTTTTTTCCATCATAATGTAAATGGAAAAAAAAAAGAAACTGTAGGTTAATAACAAGATTAACCTTTTAGATTAATTTATTTATTTCAGTTTTTCAACTGTAATGGATAAATTTAAATACAATAAAACATAATTATTTATTTTATGTTAAAATAAAAATACGAGTGAATATATTAATGGTTTAAATTAGACAATCATATATTCCAAATGAAAGGCGAATCTAAGAACTATTTTAATTTTATACATTTTTCATCATATTGAAATCGTTCGTCTTGACCACATAAATAATATAAATAAATAAACTGCTTCATCTTTCAACTTGGCTGCCGAATGTTTGCATGTCAGAAGTTGGTCCATTCACAATGACTTAAAAACTTAGTAATTTTAGAATAAAATAATAATTATAGAAATTTAAACACTGTGAACATAAGAAATCCGAGTATTTTTTAATTAATATATATTAGAAAATCAAAATTAACTAATGCAACGTTGAGGTATCCAAGAATTTAGAATGAATGGTGGATGGCCGGTGAAATTTATAATTCCAAATAATTGCTGTAACATAATGTAAACTCAAATAATTCCTAACCTATAAAGTCTAGGGTAGGGGACCTCTCTCTTTTTTGTTCTTTTAAAAGGGTAATATTGTAAACAAAGTGTGAATAGTGCTCTTACACTTCAGTATGGCATAGATAAATCAGGCAGCCAATTAAGAACTCAACAGAGTTGAGTTGGAATACATTGGCACTCATTTCTGCTTTTATTACTTCCTCACTCACGACGCAGACCTAGCTATATTAAACCATGTGAGTTTGGTCCCAATAAAAAAACTATATATGAATATGCGCGCCTGCAAATTTAGAAATTTTGTTAAGGAACTCAATCAAGAAGCAAGCAACAATTAGAGGTTTGGACGACTCAATTTTGGTTTAGGTGGCGGTATAGCCTCGTCGATAGCAATGAATAGACGATTACTAACTGGAAAAATGATTTTATACTATGATATTTAAAGATGACGTGTGATTTCGGACAACTATAAGGGAACAATCGTCTGGTGGGAATCTGATACTAGAATGGGTGATAGGTTGTGGCTAATTCAACGACAAAACATAAAATGTTAGATGGTGTTCCAAAGAGTTTTTGATCATTGTCAAAATTGTATGTTTTTTTTTTGTTTAATCACTCTTATTTGATCTATTGATTGATTAATTAGGTTCGAGTATTTTAGAGGTTCATTATAGATACGACTCTTCCAACTCAGTTTGCTCCATTCACGGATACTAAGATTAAAACTTCTAACTTTGCTTAAAAATATTTAATATCTCATTCTACTAAATCAATCAACGAAGTCAGTCTTGACGGTTTCTCAATGTAGTGTATTTCAATGACCATCAATTTTGTTTATGTTGAAATTTATCGATGTGATTGGGATGAGAGATTTGTGGGCTGAAATCAATTAGGGTTCTAAAGATACGATTAATGGAAGCCTAATTGTTGGGGGCATTTAATGATGCACAAACACATTTGGGCTCTAAGAAATTGGGCTCCAAAAAGTTTCAATTAGGAGACATATTGGTTTATATTGAGAGACGAATTTACATGTATTTTAAATTTCATTCGGTTCTTTTCTAAATTGATTATAAGTTAATGTTTATTTAATTATTTTTAAATTGTATTATACAAATCTTATATATATGATTATTACTTAAATCACTTGATAAGTTTTATAACAAACACATATTCTTTTATGATTTTCATAATTTATGATAAAAGATTCTAAGAAAACTATAAAGTATCGAGAGAATAGCTCTAGACTACTTAGACCACTTGATAAGCTCTCTATACTTACAGCTTCGCTAGAATCTTTTACCATAAATTACGAGAATTATAAAAGAATATGTGTTTGTTATATAACTCAAAAAAGAAATTATTAATACTACTTAGACCTTTAATTATTTTTTATTATATTAATTTTAAGTAAAATATTTAAAATTTTAATACTTGTTAAATTAAACTACAAATGATTTGATATTCTCTAAATAAAATTCAAAATCAAAATTATGGATAGGAAAATGATGTTAATAGAACTATACTCTATAACATAATCATTACTCTTGCGACTGGTCGTATATTAAAAATCTCAGATTAAAAAAATATACAGGTTTAATCGTATCAACAAAATCTTTATTTGAAACATGCCACGTAAAAAAGAATGTGATGAGATGGGTCCCGCCAATGCCAAAATTGTAGACCGTCACCACAGGATCTAATCTATTTGGGTGTATGAGTATGATTTCCAAGATTTTCAGTGGTTAAATTTTAGCAGAAAAAAAGAAGTTTTAAGTTATGGCTTACTCTTCAATTCCACAGCTTCCATCTTTCACTCTAAAATCTTCCCCATCATCTCACTGTAAGTTCCTTCTTTCTCTTTATATATTTAGTTGTAAAGAATTGGAGTGATGTGTTACTTTTAGACCGCTGAAACTTTATATTCATTTGGTTCTTTTGTATTGTTCATTCCCGCTAAACAATTTTATCCAATTTCTGAAACTTTGTGATTAAAATCCTTTGCAGAAAGATTTATTATCCCTTCATGTTAACTTTCTCAAATGAATTTATGGGTTTTTTCCAGTGATTTTTTTTTTGGGGTGGGGTGGGGTGCTTTTCGATGCTTTAACTGAAAATTGGATTAGAAGCCCAAGAAATTTCATAATATCTAGTTCATGTTGAATTCCCGGATTACGTAATACGATTTATTTGAAAAGAAACGAGCAGAATTTGGCCTTGTTCATGTTGATTTTCCATTTAGCTTTGAATTTGAGGTGTTGCGCCTTCTGCTGCCAAAGCATGTATCTTTTGTATTTATGGGTTAACAATACAAGTGTTTTGAACACTGTCTTTTGTTGTTCTAAACGACAGCAAACTCAAGGTCGGTTGCAGTTCAGATAAGGTCCACTTTCGAAAATGAGAGCTCCGCCACCGGAGTTTCGAATGATTCATTCGAACCTGCTAAGAAGAAGGTTTCACTCATCGCCTTCATTTTGTTCATTTGGTCAAAAACTGATATGCCCTAAGGCCATTTTATACTTGGGATTAGCACTCGATCGGGATGAATATTTCATTATTTGCAACCTTCCTTGTAGTCTTAATTTCCGCTTCTGACTATTCTTTTTCTGCAGTCAGCTGAGTTATCGACATCACGGCGTTTGTGTCTCGCATGTTTATGTTCAAATCTAGCTTTAATTGGCAGTTCTAGCAACTCTGCTTCTGCAACGACCATGGACGGTAACGAAAGGGCCGTGTGCCGGAATTGTTCAGGGAGTGGTGCTGTACTTTGTGAGTGTCACATTGCAATTTCTTTCATACTCTTTATTCTAACCAAGTCAACCGTGCATGTGTGCAATTGTTGATCCTCTTTTTTGATTCACAAGATGTTAATTTGTTCTTTATTTAGGTGATATGTGTGGTGGTACAGGAAAATGGAAAGCTCTCAACAGGAAACGTGCTAAGGATGTTTACGAGTTTACGGAATGTCCAAATTGTTACGGTATGCACTCTTCTTCCACTACATGTTTTATAATACTCGATGGCACTCGAGCTGAATCGGCACCCTCTGTGATTTGAATATATATGTTATGTATCTGAACCCTGGCTACTGGTGTGAGCAGGTCGGGGAAAACTGGTTTGCCCTGTTTGTTTAGGTACTGGTTTGCCAAATAATAAAGGTCTTCTAAGGAGGCCCGATGCAAAGAAGTTGCTTGACAAGATGTACAACGGTCGAATTGTGCCGATGTCTTAGGCGTGTCATGCATCTAAGCCTGGGATGTACAACGGACGGATTTTGCGATGTCTTAGGCGTGTTACGGGATGTAAAACAGTCCGAGTGTATAACATTTTTGAATGTGTTCCTGAAAACTGGAGTGCAATTCATGGACCTATATTGGGCACATTGAATTTCTTCAATCTACTCCTATGCATACAGTTCACTAAATTAATTGTACCCATTAAATAATAAAAAAATTATTTTAACATGATAACATTTATTTTTAGTGCTAGTATATATGGGGGCATTAACCAATTACAATAAAAAGAAATACATGGTAATGCCATTTTCCCAGTTATGATAATAAGACGTCAAAATAAACCTGAAGATTGGCATGAGAATGACCCAACTGCATTCTTTGCTGCAATAACTTTGCTCACTAACAGCCTCCACTTTGTCTCATCTTTCTTGCTCTGCCTCTGCATTTTCCCCTTAAAATGCCTATCAAATACAAATGTCGGGAAAAAATAATCATCAGTTTAGTGGATTTTAATCATCGACAACTACGATAATGGATCAAATCTTTCCATCAGACTCAATCAAAATGCAAGAGAACAAGTGCGAGCCAGCTTTGATAAGCAATGTTTCTCAAAAGTGGTTGATATCATATTTTGTTCAACTGTTAATGCTTACCTACAGAGAGGAACCTTGCAGGAATCGAGCTCGTTGCACATGCGGGAATGCAGTTCAATAAGCTGCCACATGCGCTTGCAGTGCACACATCCACCCGGGACCCGAGTCTCACAATTCGAGAAATGACGCACTAAAGTTTCAAGTCCTTTACAAGCTGGAAAATTACAGGTGCCCTGGTTTCCATTTAGCACCTTATCACGAGGTCCAATCGTCCTACAACCATCCTTGCAAATGTGGAGCAGGGCCTCCATCGCCCCATACAATTGCAAGTAGACCTTCTTCTCTTCCATTTTTCTCTTCCTCTCTTGCTTTCTCTGAGGGAAAGAAAGCAATAAATTAAACCGATGATGTAAACACATGACAACATCTAAAACATAGGGTTAACCATCACTGAACTCCATTTCATAATAATAAGAAGCCAATTACTTTAACATCAAGACAAGATCATATTTTCCATATCAGTCTTTTACAGATAAGGCAAAGAAATAATTAGTTTGACCAAATATTCTTAAAAAGGTTTTCACTTACAGTATCTGCTTCAACAACTGACTCTACAAGTTCTTGCTCAAGAGCAGGATTGGCGCACTTCATCGCTCTCCGTCCTTCAGTTGAAGATATAGATTTGAAATTCTTTACTACCATACGAACACAAATTAAGGCAAGCCTAGGTGCATCACAGTTCCTTGCTAACTGAAGAACATCTATCACATTGTCTTTGGTAAGCCAACCTTGCTCCAGTGAGCAAATACAAACTCTTTTCAGCGACGGAATTGAGTAGGAATGTGACAAGACTAAAAGATGGAGAACAAACTTTTGCAGCTCCTCCTCTTCATAGCTGCATTTCCGTTTAATAACACAAGGGACACAAATAAAGAACTTATGCCAATTTAGACCTTTTAAGGCAATGATGAAAAAGAAGAGAAAGGAAATAAACAGATCAAGTTGAAGAGAGTCAAGAGACTGCAAATTTAGTTATTAGTATCACGCCATAACTGTCAAATGATACATAACTAACATGTTTCCCGGTTTTGGTCGCCACTTGAAATAATGGTGGAAACAGACAGTAAATAGGCATCATATAACGAATTAGCACCTGATTCAAAAACTACCACAGATGTTATATGCAATAAGTATGCAGAAAAAGATTTCAAACATACCAAGATGAATATAAAAAACGAATAAACGCATAGACAGCTCCATGAGGTACTCCAGGGATTTTGATGTATCTCATGCCATGCTTGACTTTCAATATCCGGATAACATTACCCAGAACAGGTGATGCAATACTCTGGAAAAGTGATGGAAAATAATTTAGCTCATAAAGCAGAAATCAAAATACGATAAATTGAAAACATTACATTCCTATAGCTTCAACCTCTCCACATGTATATGGTAAATAAATTAGATGCAGTATTCTTCCATTTAAAAGGAAACCACAACCGTGCAAATCCACTATCTAACAAAAGAAGAAAAGTTTGTAACATTATGATGTAAATCAGGTCACCTTAGTTGTTCTACAGATTCGGAGGAAAACATAGTTAACTCACCAAAACATTAGAATGAGCTAGAACACATGATTTTTCATTGGTGATAATACAAACATCTGCGCCATACCCTTCCTTTAAAAGCCTGTCCCATGTATCCTTTGTTTCTTTCGGGACAAAACTACATTCACGAGGCCTCTTGGAATACTCGGTTCTCGTACAAATTTTACTTGGGAGAGGCGGTGGCTTTGGAATGGTATTATTGGATGCAAATGGAATAGGAGCTTCCAGCACAGGTAAAATATCAGCTGGACTTGCTTCCTTTACGCATACATTTAAAGATTTACAAAAGAGCTCACTAGGCGAGGATAGCCATGCAGAATCAATAGCTGGTGGAGCCATCAAATTAAACTTCTTCTCAGAATATCTGCACTGAAGTTACAAAAAAAACCAAGAAATGAGAACAGAGCAACTAAAAGTGCAAAACATAAATCAATCCAAAATGAGTTCTGAAAGACGTAAAACAAACTGCATAGTCAATAAACTTTATAACATGGAGATGAATCTGTACTAAAATCAAATAAACAAAGCAGAAAACCTAATAGAACCACCAGGAAAAGTATCAACTGCGTCCTTGTTAAAGGCTAACTACCCTTAACTTACCCGTAGTCCAGGAAAATTTTAAAACAATAAACAAGGATATCCATAAGACCAGAAGGCAAAACCCATAGAACTATATACCACACAAAAATTTTAATAGCCATAATAATACTTTAATAAATCACTAAATATAACTTTTTAGTGTTGCTTCTGATTAAAAAATATAATTTGGGGGGGGGGTATTGGATTAAAAGTATCAACTGCCCACAGGTCCATTTCCAATATGATAAAAATACGAGGGTGTTTTCCGCATTTAGATGAAAGAGAGAATACAAAACCCTTCAATTAAATAAATTTCCTTTTGGAGGCCAAGAAAATATGGTAAAAAAAAAAATCAGCATTACTCTTTCGTTATTTCTTTAACTTTCCTTCTTTTCTCGGCAGCAAATTAACGATTTATACCTTTACAAATAATGAATCAAATCCTCCTTAGCACAAAGAAAAGCACTCGAGATTAGCTCGATCTTCTTCGGAGTTCTTGAAAATCTGACTACAAAGCTAAAGAAACTGAACAAAAAAGAAATACTTATAAAAATAAAATCAATTATAAGGAAAGACTCATTTCTATTTGCTTCATCTAAAAAATATGAAAAAAAAATACACCAATATATATATATATATATATATATATATATATATAGATATAAACTTTACTTCACATAAAATTTATGCACTACAGTAGAATCAATTGCCAATAAATATATATATTTATATTTAATTAAAACAAAGAAACAAAAGGAAGAATGAGTGAATTACCTCCAAAAAAAACTTCTTAAAGGAAATATGAATTTAAAAGAAGAAAACAGATAAGAATTAAAACTGACCTTTGGATCATAAGGCTAAAGAAAATGGAAGTGAGAGCTGGAGGAGGAAGTCAGTGATACTATTGGAGCTTAAGAAACGACGCAGTTTTAGAGAAGAGGGAAGCGAATAGAGAATGATAGGACTGAGTAAGGTAGACGGAGACGAGACGAAAGTTCGCTAATTTGTTTAATTGGTGATAGATAACAAATCTATTTATATTTTGCTTTCTTTCTTTCTGTTAAAATAGTGGGTAAATTACACTCAATACCAATGAACTTTAGGCCATGTATCATTTATACCGTTAAGTTTTTAATTTCTCCAAGTATAGCACTAAACTTAGGTTTTAACTCCAGTTAAACCATTGAATCGTTAAATTTTAACGGCATGATGACATAGACAGATCTTTACATCATTGTGATGGTATGAACAAACGACATCATTTTTTTATGATTATTGATTCTCGAAACAACATCGTTGTAGGCATTGAACTTTAGGGGTATATCGATTTTGTCATTAAACTTTTAAATAGTTTTATTTTTATACTGCACTTTTCCATCCACCACGATAGTCAATCATCACTTGTCACTGATCACCTTTTGTGACAAGATTTGTACCAAAATGTTCACATTTCACTCCTCTTTCTTCTCATATGATTGAGTTTTCATGAAACCCACTCAAAATTGATGAAAATACATTTTAATTTTGACGTGCTAATACTTTTATCTCTTTCGATGATCGTTTGATGAGGCTAGTTTTGAGATATGTTAATCTTCTCAAAATAATGTTTCTCACCGTTCAGATTGCTGAACAAACACTCCAATTCCCTCAAATCTAAGAAAGTCCACAAATCTCTAAAAATAATAGTTTTTTTAAAATTTCATTGATTTTGAGTATGTTTCATTAAATATCAATCTTGGGAGAAAAAAATGAGTGAAATGTGATTATTTTGGTACATATCTTGCTGTGAAATACGACCGATGACAAGTAGTGATTGGCTACTAGAGGCGACCAAAAAGGTGCAATGGCAAAAATGAAATTATTTAAAAGTTTAATGGCAAAATCGATACAGCACTAAAGTTTAATGCCTTAAATAATGTCATTTTAGTGCATCAATAAGCACACTAAAACGATGTTGTTTTATCCATTTCATCATATTGTTTGAATTTCAAAGGTCCAATGGCATAATTAAAGTTAAAAGTAGAGTCCAATGCCATAATTGGTGAAATTAAAAGTTTAGTGATACAAAACACCACCTAAAGTTCAATGGTATATAGGGTAGTTTACCATAAAATAAAACCAATGGCCAATTACACTTGTAGCTACCCAACTATCATATCATTGTTGTTTTGGTTATTTAACTACAAAAACTTTTGATTTGGTCATTACTAATATACAAAAGGATAATTTTAATACTATTTGTTAAGTCATTAATAGAATGACGACTTGGTATTTTTATTTTGTATATTCTATAGTTATATATATATATATATATATATATATATATATATTAAAAGTATATATTACAAAAAATAAAGGATTTATTAAAAAAGGATATTTTAGTTTATATAAAAGTTTCTTCTAACTCGAGTTTTTATATATTATAAACAATAGC